CTCCCTCCCCCCCTCCAAGTCGGCCCTCTTGGGCCGTCTTGGGGACCTCTTGGGCCGTCTTGGGGCCGTCTTGGGCCGTCTGGAGGCCGTCTTGGGGGCCTCTTGGGCCATTTTGGGGCTATCTTTGGAGCCTTTTTGCCCGTCTTGGAGCGTCGGAAAGCCGGAAAGGCGGAGGAGCAAAAAACGTCGAAAAACACTTTGGAAAATCAACAATTTTAGACTCTTTGGGCCCTCTTGGGAGGCTTGTTTGGGACCTCGGGGGCCGTCTTGGAGACCTCTTGGCTCGTCTTGGGGCCATCGTGGGCGTCTTGGAGCGGTCGTTTGGCGTCTCGGAACCTTCGTTGGCCGTCTTGGAGGCCTCTTGGGGGCTTCTTGGCCCGTCTTGAGGCCCTCTTGGGCCCGGAAAAGCCCTGGAACCGCTCGTCCCGGCCGTGCTGCGCTCGTCCCGGCTCCCTCCCCCCCTCCAAAGTCGGCTCTCTTGGGCCGTCTTGGGGACCTCTTGGGCCGTCTTGGGCCGTCTTGGGCCGTCTGGAGGCCGTCTTGGGGGCCTCTTGGGCCATCTTGGGGCTATCTTTGGGGCCTCTTTGGCCGTCTTGGAGCGTCGGAAAGCCGGAAAGGCGGAGGAGCAAAAAACGTCGAAAAACACTTTGGAAAATCAACAATTTTAGACTCTTGGGGCGCTCTTGGGAGGCTTGTTTGGGGCCTCGGAGGCCGTCTTGGAGACCTCTTGGCCCGTCTTGGGGCCATCGTGGGCGTCTTGGACCGGTCGTTTGGCGTCTCGGAGCCTTCGTGGGCCGTCTTGGAGGCCTCTTGGGGGCTTCTTGGCCCGTCTTGAGGCCCTCTTGGGCCCGGAAAAGCCCCGTGAGTCGCTCGTCCCGGACCCCCCCCGCTCGCGCTCGACCCCCCCCCCCCTCCAAATCGACCGGACCGGGCTCCCGGGGGAGGGGTTTGGGGAGGGGGAAGCATCTCACACGCCGATGATCCCCAAGGGGTCGGCGGATTATGATGACGGCGACGACGCTGTTGCTGACGCTGGTGGTGCTGCTGCTGCTGCTGCTGCTGATGATGATGATGATGATGATGATGATGATGATGATGATGATGATGATGATGATGATGATGATGATGATGATGATGATGATGATGATGTTGGTGATGATGGTCGTGATGGGTAATATTCTGATGAAAATGGGTGTGGTGGCGATGGTTGTTTTGATAGCGATGGCGATGGTGATGGCGATGACGATGCTGATGATGGCTATGTTGATGCTGAGTCCTTAAAGCACCGCTTTCAGTTACGGGTTCTTATGTATTTTCGAAGGAAGTTGGCCTGACGGCTGGTCTGGCGGCTATGTCGTCGCCGTTGCCGCCCCGTCGCCGCCGCGTCGCCGCCTCGTCGCCCCCTGTCGTTTGGGCCTGTCGGCTGGTCTGGCGGCTACGTGGTCGCCGTCGCCGCCTCGTCGCCGCCCGTCGTCTGGGCCTGATGGCTGGTCTGGCGGCTATGTCGTCGCCGTCGCCGCCCTGTCGCCGCCTCGTCGCCGCCCGTCGCCGCCTCGCATAGATTTTCCTTTCTGAAAAGATACAAAAGTCTACCCCCCCCCCAGGATTATCGGCCCCGCTTTTCGCTTTGCAAGTTACATCGGGGTGAGGGGGGCGAACGCTCATTCTTTGTTCCCGGGTGCGTGGCTGAAGTGGGGATCCGCGGGGAGGATTTGCTTGCTTGTTGTTGTTGTTGTCGTCGTCCATCCCCCGACCCGCCCGCGACCCACCCGCGACCCATCCTGGATTGTAGGATTGAACACCTCCACATCCCAACCTAGCCGGCCGATAGCAACCCCGCCGTCCTAACTGTCATTTTCTCGCCAACATGTCGTCGAGTTGCGAAACGTGTAGCAGGAATGGGACGCGGCGCACATCACGAGCGGGCGCCTGGCCAACTTTACGCGGGACCCCCCGTCCTACCTGCCAACAAACACCGCGACGTCGACGATTTCTTTGCCAACATGTGCTTTCTCCTCATCGGCGCTGCGAATCGCGTAGCGAGATGGGACTCGGCGCACATCGCGCGGGGACGCCTGCTCGTCAACATGGACTGTCTTGTCGTCGACGCTGCGGCCCGTCGGGTTGAGGAGTTGGGCCGGCGGCAAGTCATAATGTTTCAATCAAGTGCGGTTCAAGCAAGTGCCTCAGGAGACCCCAAGTACGAAAAAAGGCGTCTAGGAGGTCCTGGGGGGGCAACGCAAATTTTGATTTCCATTTGGTGTTTGAAGGATTGTGAGGTCAGCACCTATTTGTGTTGACAATATTCCAACCCGGAAGATATATCCAAGAGGCCTTCAGGCGTATACCATACAACTCCCAGGACGCACCGCGAATTCCCAAGAGGCAATGTCCTGTTTCTCCCTGCGTCCATCTCTCCCTCCCCTCCCCTCCTCCTCCTCCTCCTCCTCCTCCTCTTCCTCGTCCTCCTCCTCTTCCTCCTCCTCCTCCTCCTCCTCCT